AAGGCAGTTGGAAGAGAATAGACCTGCATGGGGAGGTTAGTTAGGGGCAATCAGGCAGCAAAGAAGCAGTTGGGCATCAATCAGGCTCGCAAGGGAGTGGTTAGGGGGTGATCAGGTTGGCAGGCACAAGTGGTTAGGGGCAGGCAGGCAGGCAAGCGATTAGGAGCCAGCAGTCCTGGATTGTGAGAAGGATGTCCCAGATTGGAGAGGGTGCAGGCTGGGCTGAGAGACACCCCCTTTCTCCTCACCCCCCCCCCCCCCACACACACACCCATACGTGAATTTCATGCACAGGGCCTCTAGTAATATAATAATTTTGTAGGTTACAGATGGATACTATATTTATTGTGATCACATCATAAGGTATTTCAGTATCAAATAACTGCTGTACATGCGAAACTAATACAATATTGTTTGTGATCTATAATTTAAAAAAAATAAAGACTTTTTAAGTCTGCACCAGGGCTGCAGAGTGAAAAAGACAGAGATTCTGCAATGAGATGAATAAGTTGTTATAAATTAGGATCTTCCCCTTTCTGGCTCTATTAATCTCAGTGAGTAATTTTATTTATTTTAGCCTCAAAGCCTTAAACTATAAAATGTGGCAAATAAGACATCCTTAGCGTGGTTGTGGAGGTTAAATAACGAAACACGTGCCTGGTATATAGTTCTCATTAGTGTCCTCTGCATTGTCTAGATGTTCTTTCTTCTCCCCTCCAGCTTGGTGACTGTACCTCCCTCCTTACAGAATCCAGGATTCTCAATATCTAAGGAGGCTTCCTTTTTGTTAACCCTCATTCGAGCATATTATCCATTGATTTTTAGAGAGAATGGATGGAGAGAGACAGAGAATTATCCATGTGAGAGAAACATGGTTGGTTGCCTCCTGCACTCACCCCAACCAACCTGGGTCGGGATCGAGCCTGCAACCAAGGTATGTGCCCTTGACCAAAATCGAACCCAGGATCCTTCAGTCCACAGCATACACTATCCACTGAGTCAAACTGGCTAGGGCGAGACCTGAAAGTACCTTGGCTTATTCAAAGTAAAGTCTCTTTGCTTTAGTTTATTTTTTAAATCTACACAAAGCATCTTAATTTCTTTGCCTAGAATATTTTCTTCTGAATTCCCTTGCTGTGTTAGTTTCCTAGAGCTACTATAATAAATTACCACAGACTGGTTGGCTCAAAACATGTATTCTCTTTGTTGTAGAGGCCAGAGTGTGAAATCAAGGTGTGGGCAGGACCAAGCTCCCTCTAAGTCCCTAGGGGAGAGACTTGGGGTTTCTTGGCTTATAAATGCATCATTCTGATCTCCGCCTCTGTTCTCACATCCCTTCTTCCTTTTGTCTTTGTGTTCAGATTTTTCTTCTTCTTGGGGCACCAGCCAATGGACTAGGGGCCACCTAATCCAGTATGAGCTAATCTTTGCTTAGTATTTCCAAGTAAGATCACTTCACAGGTGCTGAGGGTCAAGACTTCAACATGTCGTACAGGAGGATACAATTCAACCCAGCACTTGCCAGTCAGGCTTCTGAACAGACACAAGCAACATCAGTTTTTCTGCCAGAGTTTTTCTTCCTTTTTACCTCCAGGTAGTAATTTAATCTCGCTATGGTTTCAAAAAAATGTTTTAAAGTGTAATCAGAGGTAATGAAATCTATCTTGGTTTTTTACTTTTGTAAAGAAAGGAATTTTGTATGGGAAGAATAGCTCTCTAGGGAAAGTGCTTTAAAACTACTGAGAAGCAAGAGTTAAACTGAAAAGTGTGTTTGCAAAAGTTTATGACTTGGGTGTGAATTGGCCATTCAAGCTAAGAGAACCCTGCAAGCTCAGGCTGCCGATCTGCAAAAGCTGACTGAGCAGATCTCTGGCCTCTTATCCCCTGATTTGAGAGTGTTAACAGTGGGAAGAAGTCTCAGAGAGCATGGATGTAGTCAATTGCTTGTTCCTTCAGTGTGTCTGCGGGTCACCACTGCCTGTAGCAGAGTCCGAGGTAGGTGAGTGGAGAGTGTTGTTGTTGTTGTTGGTGCTGGGTTTGTAATTCCAGGTATAATCACACTCAGAGTGTTTCCCAGGATGAAAGTAGGTCGTATTTTGAAAGTCGGTACACTTTGCTAAAAGAAGATTTAGTCTTGGAATATGCATCAGATTTGTTCTGTGAGGAATGTAAGTCACTTCTGGCTAAGGATCCTTATTTGAATGTGAGCTTAACGCTGAGGGACTTTACATTGCTTCCTACCTCCTTCCCTCCTTCCCTCGGTATGTTTGCTAGGAGTAAAAGGGACATTTCAATTTTATATGTTATTCTGTTAATTAAGTTTTGCAGAACATTTGGTACCACTTGGAGGGGGTGTCTTCCTTGGGCTGTATAAATAGCTACTGTGGAAGTAAGTTGCTTCCCGGGGGTGCTCCCATGCAGGCTGGTAGCCCCCAGAGGCCTGAGGCGTGAGGAGTCAAGCCTGTGCTGGCTGGCCACTTCCTGCCCTCTAATTCCCTGCTCTCAGCCTCCATCACTTCCGGGGGTGTGTTTTGGTCTCAAGATTTATTACCTGAACAGCTAAGACAACTCCTTGTTTTCCTAAACCCATTTTCTTATTTTGTTTGCATCAGTGAGGAAAAGCAGGCTGCATGTTGCATAAGAGCAATCAAAACCTCATGTAGATTTATGACCAGACTACCCATTGCCTGTAATTTTGTTGTACTTCTGTTTTTCTAGCACATTCTTTCTGAACCTTTTTATCACAGGGTGATAAAATAAATAGGTTTAGTCTCATTTCATGCTTAAGTTGTCTGTGCCATTTGATGTGGTAATTTAAACTATCCATAAAAACCTGTTGTTCATATGTAATGTAATAAAATAATATAAACATTTCCATGACTTCTCTTTCCCAGGGCAGTGTCACAGAGAAAAAACTTTTCCTATACCCTCTTAGGTTTATGCTTAGAGGTTCTTAGAATTAAATTTGACAAAAAGCAAATTTGCGAGATAAAAGGCATTTTTTACTCATGTAGGTAAGTGGGAGCTCACAAAAAAGTGTGACTCCAGGAAGTGTTCGAATTGGGGGCTTATATACCATCTTAATGAGGGGGAGGGGTGCTGATGGGAAAACAGCTGACTTTTAGGAAAGGAGCTGGGACTGTGAAGAGTGGGTGAGAGAGAGGATGGTTTTGTGACCCTGTCTGTGTAGGTGAGGGCTTCTCCTCTGCAGCGGTAAGAGTGCATCTTCCCTGGTTGGAAGAAACTCTATTCAAGGAGCAGATCACGACAACTGAGTTCTTCTGGGAGGCCCTGCATTAAGGCAGATGAGGGAATTCAAGGAAAAAAAAAAAAAAAAAAAAGCTCATTCTTAAATACCTTCAGCTCAAAACAGATGGAAGGCCCTGGTGGTGTATTCTGGACCCCTTCAGTGGAGACTTAAATGAGAGGTAGCATTCTGGGCAGTAGACTTACTATCAGCAAGGTCATTGGTGAATGCTAGAAGCCATCTTCCTTTGAGCAGAGGTGACTTGATATCGTGGAAACAGAAATTACAAGGCCCACATTTGTGTGTCTCTTGCTGCTCATTGGCTGTGTGGCCCTGAGTAAATCACTTCCCTAGGTCTCAGTTTTCCTGATTTAAAAAAGGATGGGCACAGGGTAGAGTATCTGTAAGTCCTTTCCTGCTTGCTTTGCTCTTCAGAACATTTCCCGTGGTATGTGATCTTAGGGGACGCTTGGACACACCAGATTGGAAATTACGGGACCTGCATTTCAGGTCTCATTTGCCACCAATTAGCAATAGGTGGGACTTCCTGGACCAGCAGTGCCCATGGGCGGGGCGGGGCGGGGCGGGACGGGGTGGGGCTGGTTTGCCAGGGGATGCCACAGCAGCTCCTCTGGCCATCTTCGTTAGGAGATGCCCTGCAATCACAAGTGTTTTCTGGGTAAATTAGTCCCCTTCTGGTGCCTGCATATGCTTTTATTGTATTTTAAATAATGAATAGGGATGGAGGAACTGGAGGCACCCAGGTCCCAGACCTGCAGCAGACTTTGGCTGGCTGACCCCTCTCACTGCCCTCCCATAGAGCTTGGAGACCAGGCTCCAAGGGTCCTTAGAGGTGGAGCTCATCTCCAGGCTGTGCCAGTCAGGGGATTGTAATTGTGTGGCAGTGCTTTCTTAAGAGGAATGATTAACTATGGCGGATAGGGCTCTTAACATTGTATTTCATCCGCACTAGGATCCATTTTTCCCTAGGGAGCAGTTACAGAACCACTTCCATAGAAGTACAATAGCTTGCCTGTTAATAAAGCTAGGGGCCCAGTCTGCTCATTCTCAAGCCTTATGGCTTTTCCCCTAGTATATTGCATTGCCTCTGAAAAAGTTACTTGAAAAATTAGAACGTGTTGTCTAATTTAGGATCATAGTCTCTCCAGCTGTGGTAGTGTCTACTCTGAAACCTGAGATCCTGAAGGGTCACTTGAGAGATGTCCAAGCTCACACAGCTAGTTATTAGCCTGATCTGGTTCTTGGAATCCTAATTCAGTACTTTCCCCTCCTTCCCTAGCAACCCAGACTTGATCTTCTGAAAGCACCTTCTATTTTTAAACATTATTGCAATACAGTACCTTAGAGTAGCAGTGGGTAGCACTGGCATTCATTCTTCTACTGGCAGACCTGCCTTTCTCCTATGCTATTGTCATGTGTATTTTGGGTGACACTCCTATCATACCTAAAAGTTCTTTTTATAACTCCTAATGGTACTGATTTTTAAAATATCTTTTATCAAGGCTCATTAGTCACCAAACATCACTATTTAAATTAATTTTAATTCAACTTACAGTTGAAGATAGACTTGCTTATTTTAAGCCACATTTCAATTACGTTTGTTACACAAAAACAAGTAAATCTAGAAAGCCTCCTGGTGGAGCTGAGGGAGGGTAGAGGGGAATGTGTAGCATGTTCTTTTTTAATACCTTCCTGATATTGGTTCTCACCTGACTTGTTCAAATTTGAAAAGGTTTTTACTGAGGAATCCTGGAGGCGGGGCTCATCCCTGGAGGAAGATGGGAAGGAGGCTCAGAGGACCCCCAGGAGGCGATGGGGCTCTGGGAGGAGGTCCCGGCCTCGACCGCTCTCAGACTATGGCCAGTTTGCCTGCCGAAGTTTGTCTATTCCTGAAGACTCAATTGCTGTGGACCCCCAGAAGGAGGACATTGTGGACAGTGACCACCAGCTGAGCATGGCCTCCACGGTCCCCGCAGACCAGAATGCAGCCACGGGCTGCCCCAAAGGATGCCAGAGAAGGCGCCCCATCTCCGTGATAGGCGGGGTCAGCTTTTATGGGAACAGCCAGACAGAAGCAATAGAGACTCTTCTAACCCAAGTAAGATCTGGTGTGCTTCTACCAAAGCAGCAGAGCCCTCAGCTTCCTGGCCTTTGTTCCCCCTGCAAACTAAACGGGATGCTGCTTTCCTTTCTTTCCTGACTCAATGATGATGTCATCTACTCACAACCTTTCTTCTGGACTTTGCAAACTGCACATATTAGAACTAATAATCTGACATTTGGATGTTTTACTAATCTTCTGTCTTTGCTGGGATCTTGAATGATGTGTGAAAGTAGTTTGATGTTTGTTCCAAATCATCTGAGATTTGAACAAGGGGAAAATAGCAGTACATATTTAGTGAGCTTCCTGAAAGAAGAAGCTGAAAGAAAGCATCATCCCTTGTTAACAAGTAAAGATGAGAAGAGAACAAAGAAGTTGTTTTTATTAGGAAATAATTTTTTCTACCATTTTCTTGCTTTTGTGTTGCAGTTTTTCAATTGCTTTAACAATAGATTAAAATCTTAATTTTATTCACTTATTAATTCAGCAAATATTTATCAGTTACTCAAAAGGCTCTTTGAGGATACAAAACATTTAAATAAAGGCCTTGGTCAGGAGGAGTTTCTGTTACTTGGCAATATCCAGCCATGGCCCAGGGCTCACCAAACAGTACATGAGTGAGTGCCCAATTTTATGTTTTAAATTTGCTGGCTGATATCAGAACCATAAAATTCTCCTAAAAGGGAAAGTCAATGTCGGCATAGATTTTCTGTTTACATTCCACCTGTAAAGCCCAGCACAGCACCTTGTCTATACATTGAACATGCAAAACTCCCTTGCTTAATTGAATTAAATTGAATTGAATTCCTAAGATAAAAACAAAATAAGTTGAAGAATACCACAAACATTTTGCTGTGTTTAAATGCTCTGCATGCTGAGAAATAATTCTGAACTAAAACAAACGGTGACCTCTTAATTCACAATACACCCAATAGGGAAGATGTAAAGCACTTAAAATTTATTTCACTTTAGAACATCAAAAAGGAGTGTGGGCAGATAACTTTCTGCACTGTAAGCTCATTTAGGGAACTCGGTGAAAACCCTAAGGAAAGCACTAAGCAGCTTGACCTGTGTTGCAGTTATAGGGACTGATAATGTAGAAAATCAAAAGGGCATAGAGATGATTCTATAGACAAGGGCAAATGTTTGAAAAACCAACTCTTCTTTTAAACAAAGCTCAGTTGTCTTGTTAGTTTAGGTAAACAAGAATTGGATTCCACAAATACTGAGCTGGTACCCTGCACATGGATATGTAGAGACCAGAGTAAATAGCTGAGCCACAGTTGGTCACCCTCGCCATGGTCTTTGGCACTGAATTTGCTTCTTCTGAAGGCTGCTGCTGGGAACACATCTTCTTAACCTGTGACCCTGTATCTCTGAGAAAGCCACCACTTCCTACATTTGCTTTTCCTCTTCTTAACTAACATTTTCCTTTTACTGAGTGTTGCCTGTTGGTATGTTGCTGACAGATAAGATGAAACATGATGCTGCGAGGTAAGAGCCAGTGGGTTGATACTGATTTTTTTAAAACGTCAGAATAACTCATTGCAGTTGAGCCTCAGTGCAGCTGCAAGCTTCTCACATGCTTTGGGGAAACCATGTCACATCTGCGAGGAGCTTTGAGGTGAGAACGCTGAGCTCCTTGCAGCTGTGTATGTGAAGAGCTTGCTGAGCTGCCACTTCCTGGCATCGTCTCACAGCCTCTTGCTTTCCTTTTGTAGCCAGCAGCCAGGCCGCCTGTGCCAGCTCACCAGGTGCCACCCTACAAAGCGATTTCGGCCCGGTTCCGGCCGTTCACATTTTCCCAGAGCACCCCCATTGGGCTGGACCGCGTGGGACGGCGGCGGCAGATGCGAGCATCCAATAGTAAGTCTCACAGGCCTCCCTTTCGGGGTCTCCGCTTTCAGCAACTGGTGTGGAACCCTTGCTTTGACTCTTCAGTTAAACCAAGGTGTCCAGGTCACTGTGGACTTTCTGCCTGTCTCTGGGCCAGGTAGTTGTTTCCTGACTGTGAGGAAGGCTCACCTGAGGAATTGCGTTTGTCATCAGCTGTCCTGTCCCGGGTGGGTGCTGTGCGTCATTACAGTGGCCCTGAGTATGAGAAGTTCGCTCCTTTCTGTGTACCTCCGTGTCCTGCAGAGTGACAGCCGACCCAGAATGCAGTCCCAGGGGTTTGCCTTAACCTTTTTGAAGCTCTTTCTGTATATTTAAGATTCACCAATACTTGTTTGAACACCAAAGAAAAGTTATCTAATATGGTAGTTAATATGTCGCCATAGTATTTACCCAATTGTTGATTTGAAATAATACCACGTTTTGGGAAGATGTTTAAACTCCTAAAAAAGGCAATCTTTCCCTGTACTAACATTTATGTCCATGCCAGTCAGCTGGGTGGATACTGGCATTGTCCTGGTGGCACTGGGAGAGAGCCGACTTTTATTGAGAACCTACCACATGGCAGACACCATCCTGTGTGCTTGGATGTATTCACATATTTCATCTTCTTAACTCGGTGCCAGGTAGATACTGTATTATTCTGTTTACAGAGAAAGAATCCTAGGTTTCGATAGGTGAGCTGCCCTGGGTCACTCACTCAGGAAGTGGCAGAAATGGGATTTACCTCAAGTCACACAGAGTTTTCAATAGCAAGGCCCATGCTGTAACCACTGAACTATGCTGCATTTTTAAAAATGCAGCAAACTACTCATGATTAGCTTCAATTGCTAGGTTTACTGTCTCATTTTAAAAAATGAATGTGTTGGGGTAGGCATGCGAGTGGTGAGCTGGGCGGCAGGAGTCGCAGCCTAGGCCTGGGCTCTGGTTGCAGCACTGCTGCTCACCGCGATGCTGGCGATGCTGGCGGTGGGAGCTGTAAGAAGCAGGGAGAGTTAAAGTAATGTATTTTCAAAAGACTTGAAAGAAACTAAGGGTGTTACTTGGAGAACACGTAAATTTCAGAGAGAGGAGGGAAAGAGAACAAGGAGGTGTGGAATTCTTGTTCTCTTTCTTTCTTGCTTTAGACGGGGCAATAAGGACACAGACATTGTTGAAGAGGGTGTCCTGGGAGGGCTAGCATGTAAGAGGTCAGAGAATTAGTGACTTGTGCAGTAAGTTGGCATGGTTTCTAACTCACGCCACACATATTAGAGGAATTGAGGCGAGACTCTTTCATCAAACAGGAGGCAGAGGCAAAGGGAAATTAGATGGCAGCTGGATGTTGAGGAAATCTATGATCATCTCAAGCTCAGATGTCCTCCTATCACTGATGCCTTTGCCATTCTTTCAAGGGAGCAGGCCAAACACCTGGGAATCATTCCCCTCATCCCTGGTCACTAGTCTAGTCCTCAGCAGCTCCTGCTTCTCAGCCTCCTTAACCCTGACCTTCAGCAACTGCCCTCCCCTATGGCTTCCTTGGGCGGGGCTTTTATCACTCTAGTCAGAGATACCGTTCATATGCAATTCTTTTGTTTTGTTTTGTTAATCCTCACCCATGGATATTTACCATTGACTTATGGAAGGGAGGAGGAGAAACTGAGACAGAGAAACATCAGTGTGAGAGAAACACACTATTGGTTGCTTCCTGATGTGTCCTTACCAGAGCTGGGGATCAAGCCTACAACCAAGTTATATGCCCTTGACTGGAATTGAACCCACGGCCCTTTAGTCCAAGGGCCTACGTTCTATCCACTGAGCAAAACCAGCTGGGACATCAACTCTTTTTGTTATTTCCTTGCAAACTTTCCCCATCATTATTGAAGTAACATCTTAGTTCCTTAACTGAGTTTACAGGTTTCTCCACCACCCTAGTCTGACATTCCATCTGTGTCTCTCACTCCTCGTTCAGTGTTCCCACCATCCTCCAGACTCTCACACTCGCTTGGCTTTAGTTCACCTAGAATTTCCTTCCTTTCCTTTAAGCGTTCTTTCCATTTAAGATTCAAAACTCATTCCCATCTACCCTTGGCAACACAGTAAGTTCATTGTCATGCTTCTGCAGAGCAGTTTAGCCACAGGCTGTGAAGCATTCTCTGGTCAAGTCATTGACTTCTGGTGATGTCTTTTGAGAAAGTTATCCAAAAGAAGAAAAAAGCTACATGCACAAGATGTTCTTCACAATATTATTTGTGATATCAAAAAGTTGCAGTGTCAGTCATTACAGTGGACTATGGATTTGGAGTCATGTGTGGGTCACTGCTTCAAAACAGTATAATTAAGAAAACCAAGGGATAGAAAAATGGAAACACAATATGTGTTAGTTAGCCAGAGCTGCCATAGCAAAGTAGCACAAACAATAGAAATGTACTGTTTCAGTTCTGGAGGCTGGAAGTCAGATCAAGGTGTTGGCAAGGTTGGTTCCTTCTTTTTTTTTTTTTTTTCCTTATTGTGTATATTTTTTTTAATTAAATTATTATCTGTGTACATATCTTACCATTGCCACTCCTCCCAAACATGCCCTCCCTCCCCAGAGTTTTGTGTCCATTGGTTGTACTTATATGCATGTATACAAGTCCTTCAGTTGATCTCTTATCTCCCCCAGATCTCCCTACCCTCTCTGCTGTAATTTGACAGTCTGCTTGTTGCTTTACTGTCTCTATATCTATCTTTTGGATCATCAGTTTATAATGTTCTTTATTATCCATAAATGAGTGAGGTCATGTGGTGTTTCTCTTTCATTGACTGGCTGATGTCACTCAGCATGAAGTTCTTCAATTCCATCCAGGTTGCTGCAAATGATAAGAATTCCTTCTTTTTTATGGCAGCATAGTATTCCATTGTGTAGATGTACCATAGTTTTTTTTTATAAGGTTGGTTCCTTCTGAGGGCTGTGTGAAATCTGCCCGTCTCTAAGAAAGATGTCAGGACTGTAAGTGATTTCTCCTCCAACCCTGTACACATACAGACTGCTTATTTCTGTACTTTCTCTTTTGTTTTGATTTTAGTGTTCTTTTGTTGAGGGGGAAAAAATGGGTAGCTTAGCAAAAAGAAAATTTAGCAGAAGAGTGTCAGGTTTCCCATAATTAATAGTGAGAGCCAATAGAGAAAACGGGTGACACAGTCAGGGTTGCTTCTGGGAACCAAAGAACCACAAGGAAAGAGCCAAGGAAGGCTTGTAACAGGAATACTGGCCATAGTGCTACCCTTGGGAATGAGGGACGCCAACTACTTCTTCTGTTCCCCGGTCACTCAGTCACGAGTCAAAGGCCCCAAATAGAGGATCAACTCTGAAAGCTTAGTGATGCGTCCACCACCTGGTGGCACTGGAGCTGGAAGAAGATGGTGCCTCCAGGGACCCTTTGCCTCTCATAGTAAGAGGCAGGCACATGGAGTCCCTGTCTACTAAGGTGGAACGCAGTGGAGTGGAATGGAGGTCATTCCCCCAAAGAAAATCCAGGTGGTAGAAATAGAAATAGATTCTGGACTGATTCTCCATTTGTTCATTCCTAATTAACAATTGATTGTGTACCATGTGCCACCTGAGAGTAGTGAACATAACAAAGCCCCTTAAATCACTTACATTCTAGTGAGGGGGTAATAAATTTACCAGCAACTGTATGATACAACAGATAGTACTATAAAGAAAAATACAGCAAGGTAGAGAGTGTTCATTTTTAAAAAAATATATTTTATTGACTTTTTACAGAGAGGAAGGGAGAGAGATAGAGAGCTAGAAAGGTCGATGAGAGAGAAACATCGACCAGCTGCCTCTTGCACACCCCCTACTGGGGATGTGCCCGCAACCAAGGTACATGCCCTTGACCGGAATCAAACCTGGGACCTTTCAGTCCACAGACCATGCTCTACCACTGAGCCAAACCGGTTTCGGTGAGAGTGTTCATTTTTAAAAGAGCATTATTCTAGCACAATGCACTTATTCCCTGTATAATTAAAAACTCCTCCTCCTCTCGAGGAAGACAACCCAAAGGCTCATCATCAGGTACTGCAGACACCTCTGAGTCTGGGCCTCTGCATAATATCCACTCCTTCTCCTCTTCTGTTGCAATGCCTTTTTAAAAAATATATATTTATTGATCTTTAGGTTCAGTTACACCATTATTCAGTTTGATATGATTCCATGCTTCTGGGTGACACAAATGAGAAAGCTAGTGACACCCGTGGGCACTCCTCTCACTGGGGAGTCCTCAGGTAGAAGCAGTGTTCTATGAGATGCCGTAATCGTGTATGAGGCCTTGGCAAGATTCCAGTAGGTGTCTAACAGTCGAGGGAAACACATCCAAATCTAGAATAAGTGCCGTTTCCTGTAAGGACAAATCATCTACTCCTCTGTTATGAAAAGAGTCTATTGTAATCAACTTTCCACAAGTAGATGTCTGGTTCTTTCAAGGAACCATATCATTAACTTGGTTGAGGGGTACCCTATGGTGGTTAGCCCAGGCTTGGCATCCATTTCTGCCACAATGGCCATTTTTTTAAACCCACTGAGTGAGCATGAAAATGACTGGGAACAAGGATTGACATTTACAAAGTAGGACATAACATCCACACAATTATTCAACAGCCTCTTTTGCAATAGGATTCACATATGACACAGTTGGGCATTCGCATAGATGGACATTTTCTCATGCGTTGAGTGTATTTTGATTTATCTAGTCACACATCTTCCCCAGGCCAGTCCATTACCATTTTGTTCTTTCCAAATTCCTCTAAGCCATTTGCTTCTACCCATGAATCCATACAAGCTAAATCCCTTGTGGGGCTATCTCTCCTTCCCGTCAGAAAGCATCAGGAAGAGCATTGCTTAGATTTCACTAGTGGGATTTCCTTCTTCTGGGGAACAGTTACCAGGTAAAGGGTGGAAAGTTCCTTTGGGGAGGGCTAGAAGAAAGTTGGAATAGTGTGATATTTAC